ATATGTTATTTAGTAAATCTTAATTAATTTTGATATTTTTATTAAAAAATAATCTTTTGGGTAACCAATCACACTCTTACCAAAAAAGATTAGTGAAGATTTCGTAAATTTTCTTCAAATCTAGTGATCAAGTCTTTTCGAATAAAAAATCATTATGACAAGTGGTTTGACATCATAATTGCAAAATGATTTTATACAAGGCTTCATTGTATCCTATACGAACCCTTTGCATACTATAACTAGTGGGATGAAATAAGCCCAAAAGAAAATGAAATTTGTAACACATTTTGAAGCCATTTCTTTCTAGCTTTTTATTCTCCATTTTGGTTCCAATACAAGACTACTTAACTGTTGTTGTAAGAGTTTTTCATTAGCAACTAAAGATTTGAAGAATTCATACAATAGAAGTTGCTCTTCTAGTTTATTTCACTAAACTAAAGAGATTAATCCCATTTGTTAAGATCAAGTCTTCCATCCCTTGAAGTAGATTTTTCTTGAACAAAAAAACTAGAGAATTCTTTTTTTTGAGAATTTTCAAAAATTATAATTTTTAAGTTCATAACTAAAAATTATTATTAGTCTTAAATTTTTTAATGTTATATTTTACTTGAAATTTATGTTTGTAACCACTTCAATTTATTTTCATTTTTCATTCTTTCACTCTCCCTTACCCTTATCTCATTTTCCTTCACCCTCAATTCTTATTTTAATTCTTCTATTTTTTTAGTTTTAAAAAAATAAAAAAAGTCAACATGACATTTTTATCACGTGCCAAAATTTTGTCAATAATTTTTCGATAATATCAACTTGATATTAACAAAGTTAGTATGCAAGTAATGTGATTAACAAAACTGAAGTTCAGATATCCGATTGCAATTTTTTATTTTTTAAGTATCAAATTGACCATAATGATATAATTCAAGTACCAAATTACTAATTAATTATATTAAAATAATTTATTGAAATGATTCAAAATCATATCTTGAGCTAAGTCACTTTTACAAAATGCATAATTTTACTTTGCTACTTAATTCATATTTCACATTTATATGAAAAAATATGGGATTAAAATGTTGATATTATTCAGTATCATACAATTAATAATTAACAGAAGATAAGTCATATACATCAATTACACAACAGAATATATAAATAAACAACATAGCTGAAAATATCAAAAGATCATACTTATGTTTGTGCTTGTAATTTAAAATTTTGTAATCACATGACATCTATTTAGAATCAAACCAATACTTAAAGATCTTGTCATCTTAAGTAAAATAGCCCTTGGTTGTCTCTGCAACTAAAAAATAATAATAATAATACTCAAACCACCCAAGTATTTGTTCTTTAATGGTGATCTATGTAGCAACTCTTGTCAAAACCTTTTTAAGAAGGGATTCAAATTTCATGCTAGAAAGTGTTTGATTTCACAAATAAAAAAGGAAATCAGTTCCTATCTTGGCTAAAATCAGGAGGAGGAAAAAATAACTTTTTTGCAAAAAAGAAGAAGGTGTAGCTAAATCTAGAAAGAATTGTTCTTCTATAACTTGCTATTTTGTCTTACAATTTTATGATTCTCAATTGCCTAATGACTCATGTGTTTGGCTAGAGTCAAAAGATCAAGTTGGCAATGAATATAAACTCAAATTGGTCAAAGATAATCAACATATATTCATAGATCATGAACGATACCTAACAATACATCATGCCCACCTAAATATTGAAGAGTAAAAATAGTCTTGACTTAACCTTTAAATTTTTAGTCTATTAGAGTAATTCAGTCATTTTATCCTATATCTCGAAAGGCCATGAGCATGGTTTAGTATCTACTCATAATATTCTTTCATGTTAGGCTTAATCAACCTTTAGCAAGAAAATTTTTTTGTCTAAATTCATCATTATACTTTAGCCAAAGATTTTATAAGTTAACTAAAGCTAAGAATAAATTATACATATCCTTTCATACTATTTAGGGTGATGAACTCTTTCTTGATTACTCATCCACCTTTATGTGCTTCAAACCATACCAAATAGCACCTTTTATAGGCATCAGGTGGCTTGACTTGTAAAAGTGTCAAAATATGATGATTCACATATGAGATGACCTGGTGTCTCAAGTCAACTTACATATGAGGACATTTCCGTAGACACTTGTATGAGTTACCAAATAGAGTTCTCATAGTGGATGATATTCAGTGAACTTTTTCTTTAACAAACACCTATATGTCATCTCATATCCATTGGTTGCTTACTTCACAAGTAAAGAAGTTTAACATGCACTAGTCTCTAAACATTATTGATACTTTGTCTCAAGAATTCATTAACTATTAACAATTTAGATATATGACTTTGATGCATCAAGATCCCCTAATGGTAACTCTTTATAATTCCTTGGCAAGTCCATTGTGTTTTTGGGTTTTGTCCAATTAGCATTTTGATAACTTTTTATCCTCATACTAATAATGAAAGAAAATCTTTTAATCACTAGAATATAGTGATTAGTGCAACTTAGATGAATGTTCGTAAGCCAACTGACAGGATTATAAGGATGATTAATCATCCTCTAGGTATAGGATGATTCAATTCTTTCAAAATGAAAAAAATTATTTTTAATCAATGGGATTAAACTTACATATCTTAATATAAAGAAAGAATAATTTTGACTAATAAATAAATTATTCTATCATAATTCTTGCATATGTCAAATAGATTATAGGATGATATTATTTAATCTAATACTATTTATAATATCATTTTATTTTATCCTATCATAATCTTATGTATCAAACACATTTTAAAAGCCTAATACTTTATTAATAAAACATTTGTTTGTTGAATTTTATCATTGTATTTCAATTTTGTTAATTTTTGCCATTGCACATTTAAATTTTTTAATTTTGGGCATAAAGTAATAGAATAAAAACTTCTTATTGGCATTAATAGAATATTTCACAAAATATTTAATTTTTTTCAAAAATCATCGAAATTGATATTATATAAATAAACGAAATTCAAAAAAAAGTTATCTATTCCAAAATTTGAAGAAGATATTTTGACGATGATGACGCTTCACTCCTCACATGGATCTTTTATTCATGCCAAAAATTAAATAAATAAAAAAGATAAAAGAAAAGGAAAGGATTTGAAATGTATATAGCATTATAAAGATTCTCAAACAATTCAGGAGTTATCCATGTTTTTTTAAAAAATATAATTGTAAGATTATGAAAAATAGTTTGATAAAACGTGCATTCAACCTATTAGAGAGGAAAATTAATAATTAATACTTGTGTGGAATAAAATAAAATAAAAATTACCTTGCAAAGAGAATTGAAATTAATGAAACAAATAGAGGTCTGCAATGAAAGCTTGAAAGAGAGAATTCAGGGACTGTGATAGAGAAAACGTCTAAGATGGAAGGTTGAGAGAGAGCTTCTAAGTTTGGGAGAAGCGTGAATGAGAAAGGTGTGAAGAGATAGCAAAAGTTTGGGAATTAACGATAGTGAGTGTAAAGTTGACATTAACGGCAGAAAAGAAAACTTTTCGATAAAAATACATGGCAAGTAAAAGGACTCGCTTTTGGAGTCTTCAGTTTCCACTGATAGTGGATTGAATAATAATCCCTTCTGGGATTCAATCTAATGCCCCATTTGGATTGAATTACAATCGCGTTACAGTGCAATGGAGTAACGTTTTGGTGCAATTATACCATAGTTGGCTATTTGAATTATGTAGTTGTATTTCAGTTGTACTTATGTGACATCAGTGAGGTAAAAATTTTTCACTAGTGGGGAAAGTGGCAGTGAGTCACCATACCTCACTTTGGACGCTTTTGTCCTTATGAATATTTTTAATTCAATTTTATTAATATATATAATTTTATTAAGATTAAAATAATTATAAGTGAATTTAAAAATAACATTTTATATTTGCTCATTATTTTTTTTGTCTATTTGTACCTTTAAGTAATTAATTTTTTAATATTTTAAATGCTAAATGAATTTAAAATATGAATTAAAATAAATTTTTAATTTACTTTAATATTAGTATCTCTAATATTTATTTTCATTTTCATCTTATTGCCACTACTAGATTTATATCTAAATACATATTTTATCATTAATTTTAATTTCACCGCTATAATATATAATCTCACTATTATGATGATTAATCTTACTACTATCATTATTTTCATTCTCATCAAAATTAATCTTATTACTCATTCAAATGAAAACTAAATCACAAAAATTTCACCTTGTGACATAAATATTATGTGGAGATCCACTACCAATCCTTATAAGTTGTGTTTGTTTGACTTTTGTTTAATTTTTAAAAATATTTCATACAATTTATAAATATGAAACATTCAAATATTGAATTTTTAAGATGACAAATAAAAATGAAATATTACATAAAGATGACGATGCATTTTACTCAATAAGTTTGTTAGTAGTGACTTAATCTTTTAAAAGATTAAAATCAAATTTGTCACTATAAATGATGAAAAATATATATAAGTAAATAGCACATGTGATTTTAAATATGTATATTTATAAAAATAAATAACACGTGTAATTCTTAAATTGTGAGCCAAATTTCATTTTGATTCTCAATATTCTTAAAAGATTTTATAATGATCTCTAATAACTCAAATATATATTGTTTTGATACTCCAATTTAAAATATTTTGCTTGTATTAAGAGCTTAACATCAACCTTTACGTTGCATCATGTCTCTCGCTGTCTCTCTCTCTCTCTCTCTCTCTTCCCCCTTCATAGTCTCCTTGTGGTTTTGACACAAATTAACCACATTTTACGTAAACAAACTTTTGAACACGTCTAACTAACCTAGGAAAATCCCACCATAGCCCTTCCACCCTGCAACAACAACAACAACAACAACCTAGGAAAATCCCATCTCCGATCCCATTAATCAATAACATGGATCATGATGACAAAGAAACGCATTTTATTTGAATCTTTTCCTGGATTTCCCAAATGCCTGAACCAGATCCTGAGGCTGGCCGCACATTCATATGGACCCTCAGTTGCATTTTGTTTATCTGTATTGCTGCTGGAGGTGGCTGCCTTTTGGCCTACTTGACCGTTCCTGAATCTCAATCCTCTCTTTTGCTTCCTGTTCTTGGTTTTACCCTTGTTTCCCTGCCCTGGATATTTTGGATCATAACTGTAGTATATCGGATAACGTCAAGGGCCTTTGGATTCAGGATGGTAATTGGTAGCTTGTATGGTAATGGTAGTGTTGCGGCCAAAGGTGTTGATGGTGGTGATGGTGATACAGCTGCCAGTGATAATGATATTAATGGTGCGGAAATTCTTGATTTCAATGCCAAATCACCATCAACTTCTCTTGAGGATGATCGAAGGGACGCTGAATTTGGTGAAACTAAAAATGGTGATATTGGCCAAGAAAGAAATATCAAGAGAGCTGGTAGCTCTTCCTCAAGCAGTTCAAATTCCGTTACTTCACATGAAAGTGAAATGCCATTGGCCGTATCAATGGCATCATGATTTGGTGAACGATTTGCAAAATTAATTCCAAGGAAGCATAACAGGATCAATTGCATAGGGTTGGATCTCAAGCTATGATGATAACTTTTCACCAGGAAAGTTTTTTTCTTTGCTTCTTAATACATACACATATATATAGACAAATGTTCATAACTGTAGATTATAATTATACTGATATTTTAAGATCCCAAGTTGTTTCTTAAATTCGATATGGAGGTAGCACTTTTTTGCACAACCAAAACTTTTTTTCTTGGTATGAGAAATGCACATTTGACCCAAGAAAGAAGAATTCTGGCCATTCTCAGTTCTCACTGTATCATCTTTCCTTAACCTTTCAAACACAACATTAGACTAATTTTTGTGTTCCCCATCCTCACTTTTTTCTTAATTTTTTTCCTTAAGCCATTTAAGGATTTTTTTTTTTGTCATATAGATGTGACATTCTTTCTTTCTTTAGTGATTATTGTATAAACTCTATCATTGTTTGCAAGGAAAATTATTGCAAAACCATTGCATGAGTTTGCTTCTCTATCTTCTATACTATATTCATTTTTTTTTTTGTTCTTGATTTTGACAAATATATTCTTAGAGCTGGCAATGGTATAAGGTTGAAGTTTTTTACTGCTTTCCAAGTCTAAATTTTCAAAGTAAAGTTGGACTGATAACAAGAACAAAATGGCATTTGCTTAGGGTAAAACTTAAAAGGAAAGAGGCAGGAACATTTCATATATAATTTTTTATTACAATCTTATAATTATTCAATAATAGTAAAGAATTATGTAAGGATCTAAGGCTTATAAATGTGAATTCTTTATAAAATTTGGATGGATCTCGATTATTTTAAATTGTAATTAGTTAATTATAATACAATGATTGTAGATTATATGTTTCGAAAAAAAAAAAAAAAAAAACTAAGTTATAAGCAACTTATAATTTATAGCCCATTGAATCTGTAGGTGTTTTAGGTTGGAGAGTGGCACACATATTATTACTGTGAATTGGTTTAATTTTGATTGTTATGTTGATTTATCAATTGATTTATCTAATTTTATAATGCTTGTTTTAGAATTTCATTGCAAGATTCTTTTTTATTATTTCTTTATTTATTCTTTCTAAAACTTGTAATTTTAAATTTTTTTTGAACCATGTAATTTTAAATATTAATCTCCCTATGTGATATTTGTATTGTGCACACTAAGATGGTATTATGTTTATGAGGAATAATAAAATTCATATGAGTGTTATAAATATTGAGCTCATTCTACTCAAAACTCTATTGTTTTTATGATGTTAGGTTTTTTTACCCACACATTGCGTGGCTATTTCTTGATAAAATTGTGAATGAATCACCTTTTTTAAAATATATTCATCAAATTATATTCAGAACATGGCTTTTTTTTTTTTTTTTTACTCTTTGGATGATAGAAACAATTCTTTGAAACTAATAATATAATTAGTAAAGATATAATTTATGTAATTTTATAATTTTTAGATTCATTCATAGTTTGTTCATGTACCAAAAAAACTTAAGAAAGATAATTTATTTTTAAAATTATAGCAAGCACGACTGATGGAAGAGCAAGTAATTATCAAATTATACAACAATAATTGCTAAAGGAACAATTTCAACCAACACTTGGAGAGGGAAAAGGGAAAAAAAAACTTGTACAAGTTTGTAGGTGGAGCAACAGAAAGAAAGATAGTAGGATATATACTATCTATAAAACTTGTGGCAAGGAAACAAATATTAAATACAAGTAATGTTTTTATACATTGTTATCCTATAATTTAATTATGAATTACAAATGTTTATCTCCTATCATTTTCTAAATAATGGAATATTACTGTTTGGATTATCAAATTAAAAAATGATATCTATTAATAGTCAGACAAGTAAGGATAAAAAGAAAGACTACCGATGATTTAGTTGGTACTTAAGAGAAAAAGAGAGCACAATTTCAAAGGCAAGTGCAAGGGAAAGCATAAGATATAGTGAATGATATTGAAAGTTTTTAAGTTTTTTTTTTATGCTGAAAATGACTTTGTGATATAATGACCGAATGTTTTTAATGATATGATCCTTCGTCAATTGAAGAAAGTTTTATTCAATCCTTGTGTTGATGTTTAAGCAATATGACATCAAAAAGCAAGTTTGGTAGTTCCTTTCAAATATGCTGGTTAAACAATGACGACATTTTTAAATTTAATAAAAAAGGAGAATGACATTTTAGTTCATTAACTTGACCAATCATGACAAAAATAAAACAAAAAAAAAGGTTAAATTTCTGATTCACATCAAACAACTATGGAATATATTAGTAGAAATTGGCTTATACACTTAAATTATTTTCCCTTTTTTTTTATACATCTTCTTAAAGAAAGGCAAGCATCTTGATCTGTTGATAAATACTAAATTTTTAATTTAGTGACCATATCATAATTTAAATCCTAACAATCTCAAATAAAACAATGACATGAAGCCAACCATTTTTTTTAAGAATTTCTAAATACAACTCACTTTTTACTTTCAACACTCATTTGCTAAAGATAACTAAAATTTAAACACAAAATATAAAACTTTACTCTTCACAACCAAAACGCAATCACACCCATTTATTGTAACACACCCTTCTTTTTTTCTTATAAGCTCTTTCTCTCCCTTCACCAATCTTAAACACAATCTCCATAAAACCTTACTACCATCCTAAAACTTCAATCAAACACTAAAATCTCAACTTTTGGACAAAATCAAGAAAATTAATTTTAATATAAGGGTAAATTGTATTTGACTTTTGTTTGATTAAACTAAATTGAAATCTAGTAAGTTGTATGTGATTTTTGTATAATTTTATGATAAATAGAAATGTGTTTCCATAAGTTTTCAAAAGAGAATGAAAATTCATAGTCATCCTTATTTGAAAGATTATAGAAACGTAATTTTTATATTTAAATAAATACCAATGAATATGCATAACTATAACTTTTAGAAGTTCACTAACATGAATATTCGTAACTTTTAATTCATTATGCTTCTATAATTCAATATCGATATTCATATATATATATATATATATTTACATATTATTTAATATTAATATAAAGTACATTCAATTTAAGGTTACTTGGAATATTTGCTTTGAATTTGTTTGAAAGAAATAGTTGAAAGACAATGTTGACTTTTTATTCTGTCACAACATATTTGGCACGAACAAAAGGAGTAGGGTATATAGAGGTGGAGTACATGATGCAATTAACCCTAGTCCAAGTATGAGTTAAAGGCATTTGATAGCATTTGAGATGAAATGAAGTGTCAAATAATCTAATATTGAGCTAGTTGTTAATGGTGTTGAGGATGATGTTCTGTTTTAGAAATACCTCCATCCACTAACATGATGATAGGATGGAAATGATGCAGATGAGCTGTTTGAGCTTTTCCTTGAAAGCCTAACGATACGTCTACCCTGAAGAGCTTTAGATCTCATGTTGTAGTGAATATATGAAATTGCTAGGTAATAAATTCAATCATATAATTTGTTTAAACTTTATTTTTGTTACTTAATGTTTATGAAGTTAATAATTAAATTTTATTTATTGTTATTATAGACATGGGGATCCGTTTAAATTAATTAACCATGGGCCAAAATTATAGCATTAACCTTTAGATGATTTTCGTAAATGTATCTATGCCAATGTAGCTCAATCAAAGTTGGTGTCATTGATTGAGTGCACCAATGGTTGGTGAATAATATGATAGTATCAACATTTTGTGAATGTGACAACTTGAGATAAACATCTTTCACTTACCATTCAGTGAAATAATAATCACGCTGGACCATATGTTTGTCATTATCTACATACCATTCATGAGGACTATAATATCATTTTGTTACGTAATGGTTGATGAGGAAAATGTTACGTTGGTTTGATTACTTAGAGTGAGGAAAAATGATGCAACCAATGAGACTAAAGTTTATCTTGGATCATTAGTGAGATTCTAATGGTTGTGAGATACTTTTAATGATGTGAATAATATATCATATGATCATGTCGTAGAGTGTGCTACCAAAGCATTTTTGCTCCATTTGTTAGGATGTACATTATTTGTTAACAAGAGTGTCATTAAAGTATCAATAGCATGCTTAGCCCTATTAAGTGACTTTGATGCCACTGGTTTATATACTTAGGGGTATATATTTGTATAAGCAATTTGATATTACGAGCAAGTCAAATGTGCATCAAATGGCTAGTTATTTGACACTTTTTAAAGTATGAATAAATGAATAGTTAGATAAGATTTAAAATATTTATTTTGTTCGATGCAAACGAACATGTTATTATTGATTACTCTTGTATTTGACATAAGCATTTATTTATGAGCACTTTCCATCATTGATTCCAATATTTGTAGTGTCATATTCAGATGATTTACCTTGTACTTGACATTTGGAGGCTTATACTTGTTCAAATATATTACAAGCATTATAAAAGCAATTTAATAACTTATTATAATCACAAATGTGTTGAGAACCTTATACGAGTAAACGAAAACAAAACTTATTACCTAAGATTACTTTTTTTAGTGCATCAAGTGTGGGGCTATTGTAGAGCTATATCATCTAGAGAGGATTTTACGACAAATTGATTTTATACAAATTATTTCTCCAACCTCTTTAGCCCCATCTTAAGCCTACCATCATACATCGTCAAGCATGAACTATGTTGAATATAATTTTTTAGACCAATATTAGGTAAATGGAAATACATGTCCTACCTATAAAGTGTTAAAAGCAACGATGTTGGATATCAGATAAATGTGCATCAGACTACAATGCTTGGCATGCATCCATCTTACATCGATTCATTCAAAATTCAAAACATAAATCAAGATTTTAATAAAAGTCAACCGATAATGGGTCTACTAGTGAAGCTATAAATAATTAATTTATGTGCTATTATTAATATTAATAATAATTACATGTTATTAATATTGATTATCTTGTTAATGTTTTATAGTGTATATCAAAGTTACTATCTGTTGTTGAGAATGCTAAGTCTTGCGAGTT